CCTCATCTTGTTCCATCTTAAAATCACCTCTCAACGATGCTACATACGTTTCATTGAAAGAAAACACGCAATTTGCTTAGGAGACAACGACGTTGAACCTTTAAAAATCTTACAAAAGTCTCTGTAAACGAAATAAAATAATCAAAAAAGACACTGAAATAAAAATGACAGTGAAATTTACTAATTCATGACGTTTGCGTTTCTTGGAAGAACCTGATGAATGCGGTTGCATCACGTCTGGCCATCGGCTGTGTCCAGCAAGCGATGAAAAAAGCGATTTGGGCGGGTGAGATCTGAATTTCAATAGACTTTAGGCAAAATATAGTGGAAAGAAATGCATGGAATGTTTCTTTTATAAAAACAAACAAAAAATTGAGTTGCTATTTCAGTAACACATGAATCTGTTTTAAAAAACAAAAGCCACTGGGTGAAAATTATGAGGAAATTCTCAACACTACTGAATAACAAATTTAGTGCACTTATATTTTATCGTCAATATTTTCGACGGCATTGAAGTCTGCACACGAATCTCAAGGAAAATTCGCAAGAAGTGTGTTAGAGCAGCAAAAATTACTGCTCTATCACAATGTAATAATAATACTACTATGGCAGTAACAATAATAACAACCACCATAACCTACTAATAATGCGATTAATAATAAAAATAAAATATAGCTGAAGACCGAAACTAACTTTTTATTTGAATCCGGTCTCGGTTTTTGCTCAGAATCAGTCGAAGCTCTTCCTGATTTGTTTTCTGACTTAGCGCTACGTGTTTCACACTGAAAATCATTACGATGTGGATGCGTTAAAATGTTCTATCATTGCAGCATATTGAACTGCTCGATTACTCGATACACTATGAAAAGTCGGACTTCCAGTATCGAAAACATTGCTCAAATTCAGTTTATCGTAACAGTAACCTTCGAATCACTCGTCGATGCACTTGAAATTTCCGACTCGTCTTTAGGCGGAGGAACAATCAACGCCTTCTTGGAATTCGAATTCGGTTGTGTGGTTTTGTTTTCATCATCCATTCGCTTTTGGGGACTCTTCTCTTCTGATTGCGACGTCTGTTTTGATGATTTCGAAAGATCCGTTTTACTTGACGAACTAGGAGATGCAGAGTGTGACTTCGTCGTCGTGCTCTCGCTCACAGAATCGATTGCTTTCGATGACCGCTCTCCGTCTGTTTTTGTTTCCTTCTTCCACGATTTCTCTCGTTCCAACTTCTCTTCGCCAATATCACTCTTCGCCGTTTTGTTATTTGTATCTTCAGAGAGGCGAGTGGTTGTTCGCGACGGTCGTTGAATCGTTTGACCATTCGTTTTAGAAGTAGCATAATGCGTTCGCGTCGTTGAGTTTGATTTCCAGTCTTTTCGGGATGATGGCTGAGAGTTATTATCTCTTTTCGAAGACAATGACGACATGCAAGAAACCTAAATGATAATTGAGACCTATACGCTCGACCCGGAATTAGTTAAAGAAATAGGACAATCATTACAAATGCTTAAAGGACAAATTTGTAATAATTGTATTAGTACAAATACAATTATTACAAATTCGACAAAACTTATGTTAAAAAACAAACTAATTGTACTCGTCAACATTCAGTGAAGGGCTCTAACGTAAGTAAAAACTAATGTAAGCTTAATCTTTGCCCGGAATGCACTCAAGGTCCGAAAATATCATACAAGTGCCTCAATATTTCCTTGACTTTATACAATTATCTCTTAACAATGATAATATTCATTAAAAAACCAAAGAAAAAACCCTTCGGTATAACAAAACTAGAGAACGGATAAAATGTAAATTATGTCATCGCCATAATTCAACGTAAAATTGTTGATTTACCTTTGCTTTGGACGAATCCGACGAGCTGTTACTATGGCGAAATTTACCGACGAGTGATGGTAGCTCGGGTGGCGGAGGACATACGGATTTGTCCTGGCCAAATATCGGAGACTGAAGATTTTGTGGTGTAGATGAAGATGTTGCTGGAGAATTATGAGCGTCTGATATTCCACCTGAACTCATTACCTTTTTCAGTTTACGGAAAGTCTACGAAAGTCTATCAAACATTTGTGATCAAATCAGAAGTACGGGCAGAATTTTTTTCTGTTCATCAGTGGAGACTCGACATAGAACTTCAGTTCACGAACTAAACGCGTAACAGAACATCATAAAAATGTTCGCTAAAGAATTCACTGCTTTACCCAGTCAATGGCGCCGATCACCTTTTCAAACGGTTCAAATCACCGAAACGTTTCGCAACATTCTGAATGAAAGAGAATCCAAAAAAATAGACTGTACTTCAACTCTTTGATGACAATATTCTAATGATTATCGTATGAATAATAAAGTCTATAAATAATGACAAACGTGTAAATTTCAAATATTCATTATGAATTTCACATATTTTTTGTTCGACTGTGAATAATGAAGAAATGTGAGCAGGTGAATAAGAAACAATCGATGATGAAAAAATGCTCCACAAATCACCTGAAATTGCTTTGGAATCACCGAATAGACGATGTACACTGCCACTTCCATCACTTGGCGTTGACGTGTTGTTATTCACCGAATTTGTGCTGTTGTTCTCAATTGCTGATGAAGCGCTCAACTGCGCACGTAGCAGTCGAACCTTAAAAACACGATTGAATGCGAACACTTTCAACATCTCAAATCCAAATCACTTCTCAACTGTTTGCAAATCACTGAATAGCACTGAGGGCAATTTTAAGAAGAAGAATACGAAGAAACAATGGAGCTTGTGCATGGAATCAATAAACAGTTTTAAGTAAGAAACATCCAAAATCAAAATTAAATAAAAACAAACATGAGATTTAAGAAAACTGGATAAGAAGGAAACTGTACAAAACGAATTATACTAATAGAAATCGCAGTCGAAGAGGTAAGCGCTTCACTTAAAAACAAGTGGTTCATGCCTGAGTAAATCCGAACAAATCTGATGTAAACAACCCTCTGAAAACCAACTTCATTTTCAAGACGTTTCGAATCAGCCATCCATATGTCTCGTTCGAATTTCATCTTGTCATTCTCTCTCGAGAGGATTTTCGACGCGCGTTCTTGTTTGTCTAACTTCATTCGTACCTGCAATAATTGATGATAGATGTTCGATTCAGAAACGAAATCACATGAAATGGCAATAAAATCACTCCATTCCGATTCGGTTCACTACCATTTTTGGTTTAAAATCACAAAAATTACACTTGACACTTGAATCAAATTACATCACAGAAAAAAAGACTACTTGAAATGATAAAAAAGCGAAGCGAAATGATGAAAAACGACTCACATCGTTGAGAATCACGTTAGCATCCGCAAGAGCTGCTGTTTTGTCGGCAATCTGCGTGGTCAACACATCACGATACTTATCGAACACGTTGCACGTTGTGCATTTCGTATTCGTTGCTGAAAATTTTCAACAATTCGGCTGCGTTGATCCATTAGATCATGAAGCAAAAACATCTCATCACGTTACATACAAGTTCCATTCTTCACAAATATCCGCTTTCTGTGCACAAAGTGAGTGAGGATGCTGACTGAATCGTGTGAAGCATTTTGAGAAATGAGTGGAAACAACAATCTCGGATCTGATGGATCACATTAGACAAATCGTTTGCTAGCATTCATTTGAATGCCTTAAATAACTCACGATCAGATATAATTACGAATGTGCGAACATTAAGGTACATAGTCTTGATGAAGCAACAAAACATCTGTAATCTTACCAACGAATAATTTGTCCTCTAATTTTTTCTGGATACTGATCACCCGTTCATTTGCAAGATGCAAATCTCGGTCTGCAACGAGCAATTGGCGAGTTTTACTATCGATTACGCCACGTAACTGTGCCATTTCTTCATCTTTTGCGATCAGTTGCTCCTGAAATCAAAAACGTCGTTATGTGACGGTGAGGAGGCAGACCACCGATGGATTGGGATTGCTCAATTGAACTAACTGAATTCAGCAAAAAATGCTGATTGTATGGCTTATTGAATGTGAAAACTATTTAATGAGAATGGTAACATTCAGGAATGACAATGAAAAAAGAGAAGAAAAAACCTTCAATTTGCATTTATCCGTTTCATATTTACTCGCAACCAAATGGAAACGCCTCGTATCTTCATCCACCTTAGAAGCACACTGAAAGATTTTCGTAAAACTTTCCTGTGTTCATTTAGAGAATTTTGCTGGAAAAAGATGACCGACCATCGCGAGCGAAAATTTTCGCATACGTAACGAACAGCCAATGCAAATGAATGAATAGATCAACTACAGGTAACAACTTCTCTCCCTATTGAATAAATTCAGCCCAGTGAACGAACCGCAAACCTTTTTGTTCACTTTGAAATCTTCACACTGAGAGAAAGAAAAATTCTACCAAACCAAACCACTCACCATATCACATCCACGTTTCAGATCAAGATGATAGAGTCGAAATTCAGAACTCAATGAGCCAACGTCACCACGAACGCGCGATAATTCAAACATGAGAGTCTTTCTGGAAAAAAAAAGTGGAAAATGAAACATTCTTCTGAATTTGAGAGCGATTGTAACTGATCAACAGTCAAAGGGCTCTAATCCAAAAAAAAAACTTCTAAATATGTGAATAAGACCAGATGGAACCGATGAAACTGAAAAGAAAGAATGAATTGAAGGACTCACTT